CTGCTATTGAGTTCATTATGACTCATGGCAACCCTATAGGACAGACTCGAACTGCTCCCATGGGTCTCCAAGACCATAACTCTTTACAGGAGTAGAAAGCCTCATCTTTCTCCCATGGAGCAGCTGGTGGTTTCAAACTGCTGATCTTGTGGTTTGCAGCCCAACACATAACCACTACCGCACCAGGGCTATGTTGTAGTTGGTAGGTGTGTGTGCAGATCTGTTGGTGTCTGTCCTCTTTTAAACTATTAAATGATCAGTTATTGAGAGCATCGGCCTCTTTTGACTGTCTTCTGTGAACATGGTCTACATCTCCACTGCCATACCCTGCTACATTCCCCAAAGGACAAAGATGGGGGATAGGAAAGAGCAGAAAAGACTGCAAAGTGTACCCTGTGGTATTTTCTCTGCCTGTGGCAGGGGAAAATGGTATGGAGGTGGTTATCAGTGCTGGCAGGAGCTGTTGGGGACCTTTGAAAATGAAAGATTGAATCAGCGGGGGATCATTCAACACAGACAGACAATGAGCAGAAACTCCCAAAGCCTCCCTGAGCACTGTTCGGGCATCCAGAAAGCTCACCACGGGGGAGAAGAAGAGAGACAGACGGAGAACTGGACGAGAAGGGGAGAGAAGAGGGGGAAATGGCCGTGGAAAGCAAAGTTGGATAGGAATTGTCCGTACCCAGTGTCTGGCAGCTAACAGAATTCAATCCACTGGGAAAAGACGTCATTCCATTGTCAACCCCACAGGAGCAGCCGAGGAGGGAATATTGTTTCCAGAATCCTCCTAGCCCGAAGCCTGGAGCCAAGCGGGAGAACAATACAAATAATTAAGAGAGTAGTGGAATTAATTTACAGGGAATTCTTTCTACTTTTCTTCACCTGGTGAGATCGAGTGGCGTATTCATTTCACATCAGATAGGTCTTCGATCAGGGAACTGTATCCTGTTCGGGCAAAAGATGATCTGGTAGATTTTTTTCCATTCCCAACTTTGAGCTTGTTACAAATTACGTATAGCCTGGGAAAGTGAGGCACCATGTCTGCAAGGGTGGGAGGGAGCATATTGAAAGATCTCTATAATGAACAAACACCGTGGAAGGAAAGAAATAGCCTGCTTCCTTTGCATTTCTTTACAGAATCTGTAACGAGAAGGAAATCCAACCGTGTATCAGCTCCAGGTCTTTTATTAGACTTTGTCTGCGCTTGTTCACTCCTTCATCAAAGGCTAGCTTGTTATTCCAAACCCATGATGAGTAACGAATACCAGATCCAATTTGCAGAGGGGAAAATGGAACCATTGAGTAGGTATTTTGTTTCTATTCGAGCACAGAGCTAGTCAGTGAAAGATTCATGAATATGGCAGGCATAATTCTCTCACTGATGAAATAAAAAGAAAGCTACCGGTCTACATATTTTGATCAACTTCAAGTTATAAGGGATTTTTCTTTATGATTTTAGTTTCGCCTATAATTAGTGACTCCAATACCACTGTCCTAAAATTCTATCAATTAAACCTATCATATTATTAGTGTACTGTGTGTCACCACTTACAGATCACTCCTGATAAGTTCCCTTGTTAAGTTAATGAATGAACACTCAAGACGATTTTGGTTTTGCCAGTGGTTAAGGTGCTCAGCTGGCTGATATTGAAGTGTTGGTTGTTTAAATCCAGAGCTGTTTTACGGGAGAAAAAGTGTGGCTTTCTGTTTGTAAAGATTCTTGTTGCTAGGTGCTCTCAAGCTGTTTCGGACTCAGAGCAACCCAATATAAAGTAAAACAAAACATCGCCCCATCCGGCACCAGTATGTCTGAGCCCATTGTTGCAGCCATGGTTGCAAAGCCATCTCCTCAAGGGTCTTCCTCTCTTTGGCCCTTCCATTTTACCAAGCACAATGGCTTTCTCCAGGGACTGGTCTCTCCTGATCACATGTCCAAAGTATGTGAGACAGAGTCTTGCCAACCCAGCTTCCAAGGAATATTCTGGCTGTACTTTTTCCAAGACAGATTTGTTTTTCCTTCTGGCAGTCGACAGTATTTTCAATATTCTTTGCCAGCTCGGGGTCACTATGATTTGGAATGGATTCCATGGCGGTGGGGTTTGGTTCTTGGCAATATTTGCTGTCAAGCTCTTGATTTCTTTGAGAGATTCTTTATGAAGGAAAAAGGCCTCCTTGTAAATAAGTCATCGAGCCAATGGCTCCTTCTCCCATGTGGCGCTTCTTTAGCATCTATTACTCATTTTGTGTGCCCCCTTTTGAAGGTCTTCATGAAAAACTGGAATGAAAAGATGTTGAACGTTTTCCACAAACTTTTTGAAGCCCTCTCATCCAGTATAGGCTGATCAAAAGAGCGTCTTGGCCAGTTGGCCCCAGCCCTGGCTCTATGGAATTTATCTGCCTTAAACACTTTGGATCTGTTTTCATTTTCTTCCAGTGGGATCAACATTATTTTAGTAAGGAGAGGGATCTTAAAGTCTGTCGGTGAGAAAAGTCCCTTCCTGATTTTGATGGGACCAGAATCAAGAACTGCCAAGTGGCATGAAGAGGTGTGGACATGGACATATTTTCTGTGTTCAACAGTCCTCTGGCAACAGAGCTTATAGCAGGCAATTACTAATCATTTATTTTGGTGTGCTACTGTAAGCATCCAGTCTGTGTCATAAGGTAACACAATATTCTGCTTCCTTTGCTAAGGCATCGCTTTCATGTGTAGCATCCAAATGAAATTTCCATTTTTGAAGCCCACATAGAAAATGACTCATCAGGCAACATTCTATCTTAAGAGGACAAAAATTGTGTTTGACTTGAAAACAATTTTTTAAAAGATGTTTATAATGCTTGTTTTCTGGGGACAATAAACTACTGGTTGAAGAAGTTTCAGGTCTGCAATAAACATCTCTGTTTTTGAACTGCAAACCAAATAGGGAGAAGATTCAAATTTACATATTCTCTTCCTCAAGTTCAAATGACTAGTCAGTCCATCAGAGGTGCCCTCGTAGTGCAAGTGCTAAGTGCTCAGCCGCTAAATGGAAAGGCTGGTAGTTGGAACCCAGAAGGACTGCAGTCCAGGAAACCATACGGAGCGGATCTCCTCTGTCACATGGGCTCAGTATCAATGGGAATCAACTTGAGGTCACCCAACAAGAACGTCTCCTTCTATACATTAAAGTATTTCACAATTACCAGACGGAATTTTACGTTTACCACTGATGGAGATTAGGACGTCATCCTAATGAGAAGACCCGTGATACAAAGGGCGCTTGACTTTCCTCTCACTCTCCTGACTGCTCACCCTCAGACATGGGGTGGGGGTTTGGAAGAGGGTTGAAGATACCACTCACAGAGACCCTGTGGCGCTTTGGGAGAAGGGTTGGATTGCTATGTGCAAGGTGGGTTAGTTAAACCCACCAGCAGCTCAGAGGAGGCTGTCTGCTCTCCTGGAGATTGTACAGCTTTGGCAATGGCGTAGAGGGTTGCTATGAGTCAGCATTGGCTCGGTGGCAGTGGGCTTGGGTTAAGAAGTTCAAAAGCTCTGGTGTTACAGTGCTTAAGTGCTTGGCTCCTCACCCCAAACTTGGCAGATCCAACCCACCAGGTGCTCTTGGGGAGAAAGATGTGGCAGCCTGCTTCCATAAAGCGCACAGCCTTGAAACGTTTGTGAATCAGTTCTACTCTGTCCCATAGGGTCGCCCTGAGGCATCGATGGGTTTGGTTTGCTACAGACCATTGTGGAAAGGAGGAGGGGGAGCAGGGGGGCTTAGGAGGTGTGAGTACCTTCCCCCACCTGGGAGATTGGAAGGAGCCCGAAGGAGGGCTCTGTGCAGACGGTATGCTGTGCGTGCCCTGATCTGCTTCTCTCCGTGGCATATGTCCCGTTCCTAGAGAGAGGGAAGCAAGAAGCCCCACCAAAGGGCAATAGCCCCAAAGCCACAGTCTTTGATTCCGCATCCATCGCCTTGGAGTCTACTCTGAAACACCATAGCAACTCGGTCAGGCAGAGAAGGTTTTCAAGGCTGTGAACCTTTCCAGAAGCCGAGTGCCTCAACGTCCTCCTGAGGAGTGGCTGGTGGGTTCAAACCTTGCAGTCAGCAACCCAGGGCTTCTTCCATTTCATAGGGGATTCTGAACCCATCATGCAGCTCTAGGGATCAGCACCAGAAACGGTACTAACTAAATGGAGATACACAGAATGTCCTTTGCACCTTTTGCCTTGGCTCCTCTATTTTTCCTTTCACGAAAAGCTTTGATGTAACATGCTATATTCCTCTGGTTCCTTGAGGCTTCCTCACACCCCACTACCATGACCCCAGTGCTGCTTCCCAGTTCAGGCTGGACCGGAACATGTACACAGTTATAGAAAGGGATGGGAGCTCACGACACACAGAATCCAGGAACAGGAGTTGGAATAGTCATACCAAAAGGGTAGGGTGAAGATGGGGAGAAGAAGGGCAAAAGGGGGAACTGATCACAATGATTGACACCTAACCATACACCCCTCTACAGGGGGAAGAACAACAGAAAACATGGGGGAACGGAGACAGCAGTCAGTGTGAGAGATGAAAATAATAATAATGTACAATCTATTGGGGCTATGAGGGTAGGGGAAAAGAGCTGATATCAAGGGCTCAATAGAAAGTAAATTTCTAGAAAAGAATGAGGGCAACATATGCACAAACATGCCTGATTCAATTGATTTATGGATTGTGATAAGAGCTATATGAGCCCCCAATACAATGATATAAATTAAAAAAAAATAAAGTATTGAAAAAAAAGCTTGGATGAGGTCGTTTTCCCATGCATTTCTCCCCACCCCCTGCCCCCAAATTATTGCCATCTCAGATTTGTTTTTAATCATTTTATTGGGGGCTCATACAACTCCAATCACAATCCATACATACATCTATTGTGTCAAGCACATTTGCACATTCATTGCCATCTCAGATTTTCATCACAACTTCTTTCTGTTCTTGAGCTCAATCTTCTCTGTTTTCTCTTTTTAGGCAAATATCAATATTCCAATGGGAGCCTTTCGGCCAGGAGCTGGGCAGCCCCCCCGAAGAAAAGAATGTACTCCTGAGACGGAGGAGGTGAGGACAAGTGAGCTAGGTGGTGCTCAACCATGGTTTCCTCTCTCAAATTCTCACTAGAAGGGGGCTGAAGCAAGGCCAGAGCTGTCTTTCTCAGACAAGGGTGGACACAAGGAGCCATGCTACGGTATTAACAGTCCTCATCGGCGATGAAACACATAGCCCCACATTCCCTTCCTTCAGCTTTCTGTGCCTGAAGAGACTGGCTCTGTGGGTCTGTGTGGAGGGAGGGGAACAGAGTCTCCCATGTGTCTTGTCCAGCAGCAGTCACTAGAGCTTGGCTGGCAGTTTTCCATTGGTAGCTCACTGAGCAGGCTGGGTTTAGTGCAGCCTCTGGTCAGGGCTGAACCCAGGCAGGAGTGCTGAGAGCAAGCCTGAGAAATGCCTTGTGGGTTCAGGCAAAAAAGCTCCATCTCTGGGTTGACCCATTGGAAAGAGGTCTTCACGAGGAAGTCTATCACGCATGCGTGTCCCCACTATTCCCCTCCCCTAAGTCTTTACTTCTCTCCCAAATGAACGCACCTGGTCTGCTAAAATTCAGCGCAAACTTTCTTAAATGATACCTGGGTTACTAGTTTCTTAGGGGGTATGGCTGGGGAGGTTGGGGCGATGGAGAGCTAATAACAACGCGTACAAGAAAAAAGACTATATTCTAAAATTGAGATGGCAGACTCTTTATAATAGGACTGCACTATTAAATTGTATGATATATGGACTAAATGTCACTAAAATTCTTAAGATGGTTACAGTGACAAATGCAACAAATAGAAAAGCGCTCCTTCCCTAGGTGCTGTGATTTCTTCTCAAATTGTGACTTTTGTGATGAAACTAGAAAGGTATACTTCTGGAGAGAGAGAGAGAGAATATTAAGATTTTAAAGCATTTCATTATCAGCCTAAGACAAGAGCATTAGCATGAAATAAAACTGCAAGACACAGCATACTTTACTTTCTCTTTCTTTAAAAAGGCCTTTTAATTTTGCACGTGGCATTTTTTTTGATCCCAAAGAACACCGATCACCATTTTGAAGTTTTATAATACAATTTGGCTGCCCTGCATCAAACCCTTTGTTCAGCATATACTTCGGTTGTATTCCTAAATTCACGGGGCCAGCTTCCAAAGATAACTTTTGAGAGCTGATGTGGTATTTGCGTGGCATTGTCAAAATCTGGAGTCTCACCCGCTACCCCACACTTGATGAATAAAAAGTTTGAGTATACAAGTTGAGAAAGACCTGGCCCTACTCTGCTTTTATGGCTATGTGAGGGGGCCTCAAAAAGTTCATGGGGAAATGCCATTCTCTTTTCATTTCAGAATCCCATGAACTTTGTGAAGCCCTTTTGTAAATTCCAGTGCTACAACGTTTCCATCACATTCACTTATAACCATGAGTACTTCCTTTGAGGCTGTGGTCAAAGATTTCTGATTATGTAATGCTCCTCTCCTGTCCTCAGAGGGTGGCTGTGAGGGAGAACTCTGATTAACGGGACATGATAGATACGGGTCCATCGATTCATCTACTTGTGCGCATTCCAAAGAAAAGCGATCCAACAAAATGCGGACAGTAACGATCCAACAAAATGCGGACAGTAACATCACGTGCAAGTACAATTTTGCCAAAGAGAATCTGAAAATGAATGCTGGAGCACATGGACAGGGAAATGCCAGAAATTCAAGTTGCATTCAGAATAGGATTCAGAATGAGGGATATCATTTCTGATATCAGATGGATCTTGGCTGAAAGCGGAGAATACTATATAGAACTTTACTTATGATTTATTGACAATGCGAAAGCAGTAGACTATGTGGAATATAAAATATTCTGAAAAATGGGGATTCCAGAGCACTTAATTGTGTTCATGTGGAACCTATATATAGACCAATAGGCTATCATTTGAATGAGATCAATCAGGAAAGGTGTGCATCATAATTGTATCCTCTCATCCTATTTATTCAATCTATATTCTGAGAAGATAATCCCAGAAGCTGGACTATATGAAGAATGAGGCACCAGGATTGGAGGAACACTCATTTACAATCTGTGATAGGTAGTTGACACGACTTTGCTTGCCGAGAGTGAAGATTTGAAGCTGATGAAGATCAAAACTACAGCCTTTGAAATGGATTACACCTCAACACGAAGAAAACAAAAACAATCCTCACTACTGGGCCAATAGGCAACATGATAAATGGAGAACCCATTGAAGTTGTCAAGCACTTCGTTCTACTTGGATCCACACGCAATGCCTATGCAAGCAGCAATCAAGAATTCAAAGGGCACGTGTATTGCATTGGGCACATCCCCAATGAATGATCCTGCAAATGAAGGATCTCTTTCAAGTGTTAAAGAGCAACGATGTCGCTTTGAGGCCTAAGGTGCTCCTGATCCAGGCCATGGTACTTTCCGTCACCTCGTATGCATGGCAAAGCTGGACAAGGAAGAAGGAAGACTGAAGAATAGTGCCTTTGAATTGTGTTGCCCTGTTCTGGGCCACTCTCAAAACCAGGGCTAGATGTGAGCCCGCTGCTGCAGCCATTGTGGCCATCTATCTCGTTGCGGATCTTCATCGCTTTTGCCTACTCTCCCAAGCATATGCCCTGCAGGGACTTGTCCCTCCAGCTAACATGTTCAAAGAAATAACGTATACATTGGCGTTTTGGGGTTATCATCCAGTTTGCAAGCTTGAAATTGCTTACGTTGTGAGATTTGGGATCCGTGGTCTAGACTTCTATTAAGATAATTTCTGTAGAAAGTGAAGAGCACGTGTAGCATCCCTGAACAGCACAGGCGACCTCTATCACAGCCAGTAGGTGCTCCATCTAACCTCAGAACAACCGTGAACATGAAACGCTCTCAGACACAAGAAGGATGCATCCCAGCAGCTCGCCAGGACCCGTCTTTGGCTGTCTGACAAGGCCTAGACGCTCTGGCAGTGTCTTCAGCCCATCTCTGGCCTCCGATGAGCCCTTTGCCCTGTTCTCAGACCTGGAGTACACGCTCTGTCCACTTGGCCCAGCCAGAGTTTATCGTGCGCCAAGCACCGACGCCTCAGAGCCAAATGTTAATATGCAGCGAGGATCTTTTACATGCTATCAGGCAGCTGTTCACTTGAAATGGTTTGAGGGGTATTGACAACTCCCTACGCTGCCTCTTAAATCTTCTCTTTTGGACTGGAATTCTCTCATTTACTTACACAATATCATAGTGGGATTTTCAGCTAATCAGCCCTCTCGCCACTATTGCAAGATATCAACACTTCCTAGCTGGGTGGCTTTGGGGAAGTTTCTCAAACCTTATACACCAGTTTTTTCATCTGTGACGTAGGGATAAGAATAATAATAACACTGGCCTCATAGGGTGGAAAGAGCCCTGGTGGCATAGTGGTTCCCTGTTGGGCTGCAATCCGTGAGGGCGATGGTTAGAAACTACCAGCCGCCCCGAGGGAGAAAGAGGGGGCTTTCTACTCCCACAGAGGGAAACTCACGGCGACAGTCTGCCCTGTTCTAGAGGGTCATTCTGAGAATAGGGTTGATGGGACGATCAAATTATTGGTACATGCAACTTAGAATAGCATGCTACTATTATTGATTTCCATGTGTGAGCAGGACTGAGAATACACTGCATCGCTTCAGATAAGAGCATTTAGGGGAAACTCAACAGGGCAACTGTAATCAAGAAGGAAAGGAAAGAACAAGAGCAGGGAAAGGGTTGTTGTTCGCTAACTTTTACAAATACCCAGCAAAAGAGTAGCCATTCTGGAACTGGTGAGAGTGCTGTCGTGGTTTACGTGGCTGCTCTCGCGCTCTCGCTATCCAAACCCAGGCCCCCTTTTCCATCACTGCTCTGCTTCCAAACCCAAAGCAAACTCACAGCCATCAAGTCAAGCCCAACGCCCAGTGACCCTGTAGAGCAGCGTGAAACTGCCTTCTCGGGTTCCAAGACTGTAACTCTTTGCTTCCCCAAGGGTTTTTGCGGCATAAAATTAACCTATGTTACAATGCAATAGTTCAATCACATCAAGAAGAGTTGCACAATTATCAACACCATCAGTTTTTGAACATTTGCGTCATTCTTGCACTCGTCTTTATTAGCTTCCCATTCTCCCCCCGCCCCCGCCGCCCCCACAGCCCTTGCCACACCCCCAAGGAGCCACTGATCCAGTTACTGTTTCTCTAGAGCTACCTAAACCGGATTTCATATACAGAAAAACATTAAAAGAAACTAACAATAATAACAAAGTAAAACAGATTAAAAACCTCAATCAAAGGGAAATCAGCAAATATTAAAAACTAGAACAAGTGTAAATGGATCATAAGGGAGATCAAATGATAGGGTGTTAAAACTTGAACTGCATCCGCAACAATCCTCTTTCCAATGCATTGTGCATGATATCAAGGCAGTTCACATCCCTAGTCCACGGTCAGAGGGGAGTCGCCAGAGGCTTAATCTTATATCTTTCCCTCCCACCCTTTTAAACTGAAACAACTTTAAAATGGATCAAAAGGGAGATGAAATGATATGACATTTTAACCTCACTACATCTTCCATAATCGACTTTATAGTGTTCTCTGTCTGATAACTGGGCTATTCATATCCTTGAGATATAACCAGATAAAACCAGGGATTCACCAGAAGCTTAGTCTAGCTGGGGACTCTGCAAATGGATCTGGAGCTTCCACTGTCATCCATAGCCTTCTGCACACCAGGTGTTCACAATTTAAGTTCTGATACCACTTTACACTTAGGTTATATTATTTATGACCCTTCTGTAAGGGGATGTCCAGTTGCCTACAGATGGGTCTTGGGTTTCCAATCTGTACTCCCCCTTTCATCAGCACAGGTTCAGAGTAAAAAATTATAGGGAGGAAAAAAGACATTAGCCTGTAATAGAGGAACAGCACCTCAATACTTTATATTTCTACTCATCCTCTCCAGTCAGGAACTTAGGAACATTTCTGGGGGTTCAAACAGTGCATCAGTTTTAATGCCCAATGACAGGCTCGCTAGTTCAGCTGGGCGGAGCACAGAGCATGAACCTCTAGCAAAAATGCCAGTCCTTGGGCCTTTCCCCCAGAACTGTGCTGATTGGTTCACCCAGTTTCTTGGCAGAGCAGATGGAGGCTGACCGTTCTTCTCTTGCGCTCTCCTCTCATTCAGGCTCACCAAATTACACATCCAACGATGGAATTAGACAGGGAGTTATTGATTGGGGGAAGCGCATGTGAGGAAAAATGGGACGGAGCCACAGGGGGCTGTGAGACTTGTCAGACCCCTTGTGATGTAGGCTCAAGTCAGGGAAGAAGGTCGAGGAGGAAGGGCCTGAAGGAAGGTTGGACAGACACTCTTAGACTGCCGTGGTGCTCAGAGAAAATGCTGAAGGTGGTCAGGATGTCCTTGAGTCAGAGATGCTTGTCATAAGCGTCCCAGTCCTCCGAGGAATAGGCCTGGATCCTGTGCTGCTGCCCTCAGCCATTGGTGGGAGCAGCCGTGAGAAGCATGATCTCAGCATGGAGACAGGTGGATTTCAGGGTGAAGCAGCTGGGGCTGTCATTCAATCCCGCCCTTCCTGCAGGAAACTGATCTGAGAGGCCAGTGCTCACGACTGCCATAGTGATCAAAGTTCCCTCCAATACCTCACTTCTGGAGTGACAGAGAATATACTCTCCAACCCTGCCCTCTAGTAACTATGAGGGATAGGTTAGCAATGAACTTTTGTCTGAACCACACAGATCTGCTCATGCTACTTTCTAATTACCATAAATGTGTGTATGTGTGTATGTTGCATGTACACAGAGGCATAGATAGATCACTAGGGTACCTTCTCAGGATGGATCAGGAAAACAACAAACAAGCTGACTTGGACACTGCTGGGCCACAAATCATCATCATCATCATCATCATCATCATCATCATCATCAACAACAACAACAAAAACAACACAGGATGTGGTCCTGTTCCAAAGCAGGGGCATAACTCTTCCCAAGGGAGGATATTTGAAATTCGCCTCCTCTGTCACGCCTTCCCTCTTGCCCATATTCAAAGACAACCGGGTTGCTGCAATCGGTTTGTTTATTGACTCTTCCCAAAGATGTCACTCTGTCCAAGGTTTTCAGTCCCTGCAGCCTAAACAAGACATTTGAAAACTCGTGGACTAAGTTCACTGTTAGAGTCAGCCCTGCACTCATTCTGCCAATCCCAGCCGATTGTACTCCTAAGAATACCACAGTTCATTTGATCTCATGACTTTCTTCTTGTGGCAACAGGAATCCTTCTAACTAGTGGTCGTTTTCTAAGCGCTCAGACACTGACCCGTACTTCATGATTTTCTAAGTTCTGTGAAGCTGCTGGTTTTCTTCCTCTGCAAACTTCCGCCGAGCTCATGGGAACTCCAGGATCACACTCAGACATGAGTCGTGTCTGAATTTCTTTCTGTCTCACATCCGTGACTCAGGGAGATAACAAGTTGTCTCCGTGGGTTGAATTTCTTCTCCTTTCTCTTCAGGGTGCTCCTCCCACCTCGGATGAGGAGAAGAAGCCAATTCCAGGAGCAAAGAAACTTCCAGGACCTGCGGTCAACCTATCGGAGATCCAGAATATTAAAAGTGAACTGAAATACGTCCCCAAAGCTGAACAGTAGTTGCAAAGAAAAAAAGTGAGTGGAAAAATATTTTCTTTGTTTCCAAAAGACCAACTGTGAAATGGTTGCAGGAAGGTTTCCACAGAAGGGACTGGGATTAAGAAGGACCAGTGTCCTTCAGGGAGAAAACCGGAGGCTTTCTACTTCCTTAAAGAGTTACCACCTTGGACACCCACAGAGGCAGTTCTACCCTGTCCTATAAGGTCAGTGTGCGTCAGCATTGACTTGATGGCAGCGCGTTTGGGGTTCGTTTTGAGTGGTTTGCAATTCAGACCAGCATTTTTGGGGTAAAGGTTTTCTGATACGTCACCTCACGCTTTGGGCCTATTTTATTTGTCTGCCATCCCCTTTCTGATCATCCTTCTCAGTTGGCGTGGAGGTGACTGGGAGAGGAAAATGCTTGGGCAGGAGCCCTCTGCCATTTCCTGCCCCAGTTGCCCCACCCAGATACCACCAAGAAAGATGAGCCATGGCTGAACTGGAGGGTCAGGGAAACAGGGCACGTGGGGAGGGTGAGCCCCAGGAGTTGATATCTGGAGACCAGGCAGATCAGGTGACTGGTACCAACCGGTGGACAGGGCAAAGGGAGACTTCCAACTTGCTACCCTGGACAAGGTACCGAGTGCAGAGCCTGGGCCCTTCTCTTCCTTGTCCTTGTCCTCAGGCAAAACCCACTTTGCTGTAGGTGCATGCTGGGTCAGAATGGACTAGCTGACAATGGGGTTGGCTTGTGCTGGCAGAGGGTCAGCCCTGCCCTCCCTCTGCAGACCTGCGGGTATAGACTGGAAGGTAAATCAGGCCAGAAGTTGGAGGAGGGAAGCTAGCTCAAGCCATCCCTCTTTTCCCTCCGAGGCTCTAGGAGCACTTCTAGTCTGCATCCTAATGGACGGAACCCAACACCCCTCCCGCCCCCGTGCCCTCCACCTCCAGCTAGGCAGTTTCGTCCAGTTCAGAAGCCACACTTGAAGTCTAGACCGGGAACATAAAACAGGCATTTGTCTGCGTGCCCATTCATCCATCCACTCACTTCCTCCGTTCCTCTTTATTGAGTATCTGCTACGTACTGGGAACGAAGAAACAGCTAATAAGTATTTCTACCACGTATGAAGAGCGTTCCATGCGTCATTTCCTTTAAGATGCCCAATTATTCTCCAGATGATTCAGAGAAGAAATGCACCATAGGTTTTTTCCCCCAGAGCCACCAGGTAGGTTCCCACTGCTGACCTTTCAGTCAGCCGCTAAGCGCTTAACTATTGAGTTACCAGGGCTCCTGCCTTGGTGATACGAAAGGATTTTCCCCACCTGTCCTGGTCTGACTTTGTGTAGTGGTGACTACTTGTTCTTCTGCTTCCATACCCTCCTCTGGCTGCCACAACATAGATTCATTGCCCGTTCCCTGCTGGTGTGGCGTTTACTCTCCTGACCATGGGGGTGGCTGAGATGGGCACAGCGACGGGGCCCTGCTGTGTCTTCTACTCTAACCCTAACCCAGCACAGGACGTACTGTGAGACAATCCACCGTGTCCCAGCCACGTTATTTGTGTAACACTTATGCTGACGTGGTAGTGCATTGGCTAGTGAGCTCTGCCCGAACAATGTCTTTGTAGCCTAGAGGAAGGACGAAGCTCTTTCAAGAGAAAATAACAGAACAGTATCGAGTGGTTTCAGCACGGTTACTTCAAAGAGCCAACTGAAAACACAGTAGGCTCTATGGCCATCGAATGAACTCTGGGGAGTTGGATGAGGCCAGAGTAACATGAAAGGGAGCCAACCTGAAGCAAAGCCACCTGCACTTATTAGTTATGACATAATGGAACAAGCGGATGTTTGATTATCATGATCCTCTGTCCGTCTTGTGCTGCCAGGCTGAGACGAAGCTGCAGAACTCCCTTGTGAGACAGCCCCGAGAAGGGAAATTCACTTGTTGGAATATTTATCATCACCACCCAACCAAGGCCCTTCCGTTAGACCCATGCATTTTTAATGCAAACTTTACAGGGCTTTGCTGTTATGAAATCTGTCGACCTCAATTTAACCCCAGTTCCAGTTTCAGAAGACTGTGATTGTGAAGATTCAAAGGCAGGCTACTTTAAAATGAGCTCCGAGAAGATCTTGTGTTATTCAGCAGTGAAGTTAATTCAATAGCTTTGGATCCGTGGTTACAGGGAATAATATCAACTCGATAAAATTTTAAAAAGGTACCAACATGTCCAGAACATTTTTTGTGTGTGACTGCCTTTTCTCAAACAAGGCTTTAATGGTTCTTTGCTCTTGAACAAATTCTAAGAATGAAAAAAACTGCCGAAGAGGCCTATTTGTTCTATTCCTTACAAGAACGTAAAAATGTTAAGTTGTCAGGGTAATTGATCTGAATTCCAAATGAGTACAGCCATTGTTTAAAGACGAGAAATGGTATTTCTTTTTGTTAGAGAGGAATTAAGCTGGTTTACTTTAGTCTCATCTGTCTTTTTCCTGCAAATATACCTGAGCTTTCAAGACGTCTGCAGTGGCGGTTTGTGGTCACTTCTTAACATTGATAGACTACATGGAGTCCTAAGCGATAAATATCATTTCACTGGTTGGGGTGATTTTGTCTCTTCTGGGCTGCCACTTCATCACTCACTCTTAGCAGTTATTTAATCAAACAGGTTGTTGCTTTGGGGATTGGGAGAATAAGTCCCAATCACTGTGAAAACCAAGGTTCAAAATCTAGGTTATAGCTCTTATGACCATCTATGTTTTAGACACAGACAACAGAGCAGCATCTGCTTGCAACTGAGGGCAATGCTTCTATGGGATTCTAGATGGTTTCCATGTCCTATGTCACCGCCAGACTTGTTTACAGAAATAGGTTAAATATTGCGGGATAAGAACCAGTGAGGCTTATGACTGACCCGCGAGGCATCAGGAATCATGGCTTGTGGAAAGGACTTGGGAACTGGAGCCAATCAGGTGCCAGCGCCAAGCATCAGACACAGCACATCTAGAATCCAAACCAAGTGACATGAGAGTGAGTATCTCAAATGGGGTCCCAAGGCAGGCTAGGATAGGTGTGGTTGGTGCAGGGAAGGTAGGGTTTCCAGCCCTGAAACCCTCAGGATCCTCCTGGCTATAATGAAAGGTGGCCAGGTTGTAATCAAATCAAATCCAGGAACCAGGTGAAGAGGCAGGACCATCAGCATCGGCAGAAAACCAGGGTGACCTTCATCACTCCTATGCCAGCTTGTTGCTGCATCATCAGAAAGCACCCCCACCCATCCCCATGCCCACGATCAGAATCCACTGTCAGCTTGCCTGCTTATAAGTACAGCACATGCCACCTCAGATTGCTCGTACAAGAGTAAGGGGAGCCTGGAGAACTGCTCTCAGGACCGGCGTCCAAACAGATTCTGTGACCAATTCTGTTCCCTCCTAACTCTCATATCAGACCACAAGTATTCAGGGAGGAACACTGGAAACATGGAAGTCTCCTTTTTCCTGTGCCAAGGTCAATCTATATTTATAGTGCCTGTGTGTGTGTGTGTGTGTACTTGGTCCCTGCTCTTGGGCTACTTAAGTCTTGATGGAAAGATACCGATGATTCAGGATTTCACACGGCTGTTTATGACTCAAACAGTAGTAAGTAGATATAATGTATGATGTGACTTATCAGAGGGAGGACTCACGATCCTTGGGAGTCTGGGACCATCTCAAGGAGGCAGTGGGAATGGAACACTGAGTCACAATAGTTTCTCTAGGGCAGTAGTTCCGAAACTTTGGGGACTCCACTGTGCTCCTCCACAAGCTCGTCTCTTGTCCAGTAGTAAAAGAACTCAGGAAAGCACTGGAGGAGGAGCAAAATAACGCGGAAGCACTTGCCAGAAAAAGAAATGATTAACCAAAGTAAAGCCTGAGCACCATCCCATGGCTGTGTTAAGGAACAGAAGGGGAGCAGCTTTTGAAACAAAAATCTCTCTTGGACTCATGAGGCACAGAAATAAATTGCCATTCCGGAAAATGGTAGAATGTCTTCCTCTATGAGTTGGGCATTGTAGTATAGTCACAGGCTATTTCACAGTGAGATTTTAGTATTTGTAGTATAGTCACAGGCTATTTCACAGTGAGATTTTAGTATTTGTAGTACAGTCACAGGCTATTTCACAGTGAGATTTTAGTATTATGTACTAAAGCAGGGATGCCAAACAATGCCAAATTATAATGATTCTTAACAACTTAGTAACTTTTGGTCACAGTAAAAATAAGCACCTGTGAATTTTTTTCAAGTTGTCTTTAAGAATGGAGAAAAACAAGTCCTTTGAGGGCAATCAGTGGGCCTTTGAGAAGCTTTGCTGTAGGTTAATATGTGAGAGTGAATTCAAATGGTCTACAATGCCTGCGTTACCCATATGCAGCCCCAGAATCTCATGTGAGTTCCACCCTATGGCCCATGGGACCAATCTGTCTGGATTCTGGATTTTGTAGCTCTCAAAAGGACCATTATACTACCTAGTTGGGTATGCTCCACTACCGAAATCTTCTGCTTACATTGTGACAATACCACATTGTAATATATTGGTTTTCTTGTTTATATTCTTCATGATTCCATCATATAGTCCCTTAAAGGCTGGGCCCATGCTTCAAACACAGAACATGTCAGTGGAATGTTACTAGTACCATGGTAACATCAGATCGATTGTCCCTCAGAAATATATTCTCGAAGACTTTCCAAGCCCTTATGTTCTTCAGGAAATTACCTAAGACTATCTTCTTTCGACAGAGATGAAGGCAACATTGTTGACCATGATAAGTAATGAGCCCCAAAATGGGAAATATTAGGGGAAAAGTTGTTTGGTTCATATTCCTCAGAAGGGGAGAAAATGTGTAAACCCAGAAGAAAATAGTTTAAATTTCAATAATGCCTTGACTTTATTTTTAAAGAATATCTCTGTATAGTCAAGAGATATAAACCATTATCCCGAAGAGATGTCATCTGTAATAGAGGTGGTCATTTCCCTTAAATGTTAAGCATTACACAT